ATAGCCCCCATACCTTAAGGTAAGACGTATTCTACGTCAAAAAAAATCGGTACTGCTTTTCCATTGGAATTATAAAGTATATTATATTTTAAGACTTTCGCCTAAATATTTCGGAAAAACATTAGGATTTACGTGAGCTGCAGCGATTTGAAAATACCTCAAAAAATTAAGTGAATAAAAACAGTTTCTTAAAGAGTTTTTTGAAAAAGCCACCCCAAATGACAAAACAGTTTAAGCTTAAAAAATTTGCATAAAAAAATTAAAAAAAAATGTTCAACGGAATCACAATAATGAGATATTGGATGCTGGTTTTTGAACTTTTTTTAAAGATTGGTTTAAGAGGAACTTGTATAACTCAGCCAAGAAAGATATTTTCTCACCTTTTGTTATTTATTTGCACATAAACTCATTCACAGTATGAAATAGAAACTTAGGATAAATGAGCGTAATTCCAAGTTGAATTAAGATGTGTTGACATTTGAAAAAAAAAAAGAAATTGGGACGTGAATGAGTTTTTCTGCAAGTAAATAAAAAAGGTTGAGGAAATACCTTTCCACTGATGCCTTTTAGGTCTAAATCGGTTATTCAAGTTTTTCTTAAACCAATTTTTGGAAAAAGGTAAAAGATAGCATCAACAATCTACTTATTACGATTCCGTTGCATTTTTATTAGGATTTTTGTTTTAATTCTTTAAGAAACTATTTTTATTCATAAAAAACTCCATTTTTGGAGGTATTAATCCAGCTCCCGTAAATCTTAACACTTTTCCGTAATATTTTGGTGGACGTCATAAAATATAATAAATTTTGTAATCCCGGTGGAAAAACCGCAACTTTTTTTGGCGATGCAGTCTAATGTTAATACATATTACACACTCTTGGCAATGTGAAGAATCACCGCGAATACCATTATTTTATATTTTAAAGTTTACAGATTTTTCTCAAGTTATGTGTGCGATCTACAGCCTCTAAGTTATGTTAAGTTGCCATAATGAGACCTTAAGGCTATTGCTAGAACTTGTGTTATTCAGTGGCTCTTATTTGCCTCACTTAGTCACCATAGCAAATAGATGCACTATAAAAGTTCTGTATTTGGACCAATTCTAAATACAATCCATATCTTGCAAAAGCTGCTATTTTAACTTGCCCACCATCAGGAACAGGGAGAATATTTCGTTGTAAATCTAAGTAGATGGAGCTGCCTACAACTGGTGGTATTGCTCACGGGTCACAGGCCGACTGTTATCCGATCTACATGTCAGCTCTTATAACAACTTCCTGTCGTGAAGGAAACGATCGGCAAGGATTAGGTAAGGAGCTTTTGGCTACTATTTGGTTGAGGATCAAAAATATGCGCTCTTCGTGACACAGCGCTTCCTGGTGAATAAATGTTTGCTTAAGTACGAGTAACTATCTGTGCATGGGCCTTGGAAAGATTGGAATCTTTGGTTATTCTTTGGATAACAAGGTTGTTAGTTTCTTAAAAAGAGCCGATTTTAGGTGTTAATTTTCGTAGCTGATTAAGCTTTCAAGTGGACCAAAATCGCTTGACCACAGAGCAAGAATGACGCCTCTGCCTTACCTCTACCAAAGTCCTTTTTTTGGATTCACTAGGGAAGCCGATGGCATCTTGGGCTTTCAGAGTTGAGAAGACATTTCTTGGCATATATAATAAAAAAGAATGACTTATTAATCGGTCAAGCTGTCCAAGTTTGCCCTCGATAAATTGCATTTCACTTTAGAGACACTTTGAAAAGCCGCTGCCATAGCCAAGTTAGTTCTTAGGTGACTACCATTAAGTAAGCCACCATTTCGAGGACGATATGTAGCTTTCATTTAATTTTAAAAACATTAATTTCTACCTATAGCTTTACTTATTCAATAAATATATGTTTGTATATAAATTTTTAACTCACCCAACAAGTGTGTACGAAAGTGTATGACATCGCGCAACGCCACTTCCTCATTCCTGTAGAGAATCTGAAAGATGCGCGATGCACCGCAGCCGTTAATTATGCATGCAGATCCTGACAATAGGCTGCCGCCATTCGTATCCTGGGCGTCGCGCTGCTCCTGCAGTATATCGCCCTCGCCCCCCTCGCCCACCCCGTCACCGCCGCTGCTGTCGCCACCACCACCGCTGCCACCGTTCGTGGCTGTCTGCGCTTGTGTGTGCACTTCTGCCGCATGTGAATTGTTTTGCGGTGTGTCTGGTATACTGGTTTCCACCTGCACGGGAAGTCGCGGTGAGACACGCAGGCCGCAACGTACCTGGTAGAGGCTGCGGAAGAGATATAAATTCATATAAATGTGGAATATGATTTACCGAGACGTTACGACATACATATAAGTTAAGTATATTTTTACAAAAAAGAGCTTAAAACAGTCGCTGATGAGTTTTATACAGAAGGGCAAGCAGTTATCAGGTGCGTTCTCATCGAAAAGCTCATTTATTCAACCCATTTTACATTCACAGCGCGCTTGTCAATTGGCAGTTCGACAAGCTCTTTAAATGCCGCCATGCGCGTATTTTTCTGGCCTTTTCGCGGCGGAAAACATGCATTTATTTTTAATCTCTTCAACGTAACATCGTCTGAGCATAAATATTCAGCTGTGCAAATTCCACTTGAGCGCCCAGGAAAATTTCCACCAAATAATAAGACTAGCAAGGCAGCTATAGCTACATACATATGTATGTATGTATGTATGTAGTAGAGTGGTGCAGGCGAACTGTCAGCCCGCCAGCTGAGCCGAGGCGAGAGCAGTAGACAGATGGGCAGACGACGTACATGGCGTATGAGCAACGCATGCATTGCGATGTTCGCGAACGCCTGTGAAATGTGTATTGTGAAAAGAGTGCGTGCTGTTAAAAAAAATAAATAAATAATACAACAACAAGAAACAAGCGAGTCGAAAATGCCAAATTATTTGTTATGGCTTCTGGAGCTGACATGTGCTTTTCATAAACGACCAACTGATTTGTTGAGTGCTTGACGGCCGCGATGACGGGGAGTGTTGCGAGTAGCTGTGTGGGAACGGCAGACACCTACACATTTATGTTTAGAACTAATGTACGGTTTATTCGTGTGATGCCATTTAATTTGGTTTTTCATAGTATTCAGCGGCGTAAATGTCAAAAGCGATGAGCTAAAATAAAATGCTCGCTATCGTGGGAAAAAGGCGGAGAGGCGTGCAGCGCATGTGGCGAAGTAGTGCACAGTGTATGCCTTCGCGCGCTTATTTCCCTGTTGGCTTTAATTAATTTTTAATTTGATATATTTACTGCATGCAACATGCACAGATGTCAGTGAAATGTCAAAACTGCTGTCAGCGATTTTCAATGACATTGGCTTCTGCTAGGCCAGCAGAGCCAAGCAATCAACGAGTAAGTAGATGAGTTTACATGTTCTGGTGGTAGTATTTTAAAAATAGTTGTGTAAATAAAAGTTCAAAGCAAAATTTAGAAGCTTTTAATTTAGGAGCCATGCCATGATTGAGGTGAAGGTTGCGTTTTAGTGAAAAGCCTCTTCATTTGACTTGTTTACACTGTGAATTATTGATTGCCATATGGAAGGGTATAAGTGGATTTGTGGGCATGTAACGAAAAGTGAGCCAATTAATAATACAATGTTTGTAATTAGTATACATACATACATCTATCGCTAGATATGTAGTATGTACATTAGGGTGGTCCAAAAACAGTAAAGTCGGAATTGTAATGCTCTCACCCCCTAGGATTGTTCTATATCGAAAAAAAGTATACCCCTATTTTTTATTTTGAAATCAAAAAATATTTAGAGGTCCCTCAAAGCTCTCAAAGTTTTCTATGTATTTTTATATGGAAAAAATAAATTTTTTCGTAGAAATGGCATCGAATTCTTGAAAGTCAATATTTTTTCGATAGTAATACCCAATTGTTTATTTAATCATTTTTTAAAACTAACGATTTTTTATTGGTCGCCCCTTTGCATTTCTCGGGGTTTTTGGCGGACCTATAAATTATAGTTGGGTATATAACTGGGAATCTCCTGCAGATAAACAGAGTTTTCTAGTAGCAAAATATTGATTTTTAACTATTCTATACCATTTCTACGAAAAGTTGTTTTTTCTCCATATGAAATACATGGAAAACTTTAGGCGATTTGAGCGACCTCTAAATATTTTTTGATTTCAACATAAAAAATAAGGGTATATTTTTTACGGTATAGAACAATCCTAGGGGGTGAGAGAATAAATATTCCGACTTCACTTTTTCACATGCATTGTTGTGGACCACCCTAATGGACATTCATTTGATTGCATGTTTAATTCCAAGATAGTTTAAGAACGCAAACAATTTCTATTACAGTTGACTTGTGTTAGTAAAGTTTATCGAGTTATGAATAAAAATAAATTGCACTGGGTCTCAATCGATATATATGCTCGCACGCTATACATATGTACATATGTATGTATGTATACAAGGCGTTTGAGCGTAGTTTGTTTTATGCCCTAAAATGTCTATTTCACAGAATTATTCCCAACGTCGGATGCCACAAAAATACCTAGATACAGTTAATATCAATTGCGAACTCTATCAATTGCGCACAGATTAATTGCTTGCGGTTTTATTTAAAGCTGTTTGCTTTCACCACCCTATAATAACCATGTGAAGTAACATGTGGAAAGCTAAAAATATATTTTTTATGTACATATGCATGTAGTTCTATATATAAATCAGACGTTAATATACGTTACTATATACATATGTAAATGCATTCATACGCATGTACATTAGACCTGAGTCTAAAGCATTTTTGCAAGGCAATTCGAGAACATTTTTTTTTTCTGACAAAGGAAGGGATCGCCTTTTAACATTTTTCGTCATATCCTCAGCAGATAATTTTTCTATTGTTGTTCGTTTAAATTACTCACTTTGTAATTAATAGGAAAATGGAATGGAAATGCTTACCATGCTAAGTCAACTTAGACTTAGTCAGACTTGGCAGAGTATGGTTTGGATGCGTCGATATGCCTTAAGCAGAGATTCCTATCCTACTGTCTTCATAAAAACTTAATTTTAACTTAATTCTCCTCCAATATTATTTACGTATAATAAAAATGGTTATGCTGCTTTGCGACACATTTATTCGAAAGTCTGACCGCTGCACATACGTAAGAGTATTTAGCTGAAAAATCCGGTCAAAAGTAAGATATATCAACTTTGGCAACAGTTGAGTTAAACATACTTTTTCTCAAATTAAATAAACGATCTATTGAAAGGCAGCCATTAAAATTTTACCCGCTGTTTTCCCTTTGACATACGTCTACATGAAAACAGTCAATGTTGTGATCGCTTTTTTTTGTTTTCTCCCCAATCAATCGTTCTACTTGTTTCAACAAAAAACCACTTGGGCATGGAAAAAGAAGGTAAGTTCTATTATTTAAAACTAAATTTAAATTCATTGATTTTAATATGGCATTCTTAAAAAAAACAAACTAAAATCGGCCCATTTTGATATATATTTTCAATAAAATTTTTAAATATTGGTATTTTTGTTGGCTTTCCAAGGCTTGTCAAGACTTAGTTTTAGTACTGGAATATAGATAATTTTTTTGATTATTGAATAAAGTAAAAAAAAAACTGTACGCCTAGGCGCGCCATTTTGTTTTTTGAGACATTAAGCACACTAAGTTCGTAAGTTTCTTAGTTTCTTCTAGGTACTAATATGGGTTCCATCTTTCCTTAAATGAAATAATTTTAGAAATCGGTTAACGTGGTCCACAGTTCTGCGATAATATACAAAAAAAAAAAAAAAAATCCAACGAATTGATAACCTCCTCCTTAACATTCGCTAGTTTGACATTGTAGCGACGATATTTGGAAATATTTTTGAGATTTAAATTCAAAATTATAAGAACGAAAAGATGATACTGATATCAATAACATTTTTATTGGAGACTTAACCCTTTCATGCCCGTTGTTGCCTATAGCCAATATTAAGATTTTGGTTTATTAATCTCGTTGTTTAAAATATTTTTTCTAGCGGTTTATTTTAAATAACACCTTAGCATGTTGCGAAGACAAAATGCTGAATTTAATGCCATAATTATGCAACCAATTAAGGCTCTGCCACATGCGGCTTTCGCGTTGCTTTGCCGTTGTTTTTCTTTGACGCAAGTCTTTGATACATAACACATGTTGGCGGCGAATACTTTTTCACTTTTTCATGTGAAATTCAAAAATAAATGTTGCTAAAAGTGGTTTTACAACATTTTAACAATGAACAATGTGAACAAAAGGTTATAAAATTTATTAAAGAAAATATTATGAAAATATCAAATCTTAGAAATTGTTTTTAGTTAGTGTTAGAAAACTTAGTTACGATTTATAATCAACATTTCATAATGGAAAACCGAAAATCATAGACGTTTAAAATTTATATCAGTTCCATAATAAACCATTAAAAAAGGTTTTTTTTTCTTTAGCACCACCCAATTTAATGCGGTAGTTAATTTTAATGTAATTAAAAATCGATTCTGTTCCTTAACAATGCCTTTTGCCACCTTGTCAACTTGTAAGTCCCATAGGGAAATCGAACTTTGCTTAACATCACTCTTTCATAAAAGTAGGTTTGCTGAAAAATTCATCTGCTCTAATAGGAATTAAGTACATAAGTTTACCACCTTCTTTATGCTAATCTTTCGCTTTAGTTTGCACACTTTGGGGTACAAATGCCTCTTGCATTCCTTTTAATGCAAAAGAAAACGCAAATGGAAAATAAATTTTCCAAACACTTAAATTCGGATGAAAGAATGTCGAGTGCTACTACACAGAAATAAGTTTGCTTTCGAGTGCTGCAGCCTTTTCATCATATCATGCGAATACTCATGTCACTCATGCCATGCCTACATATGTATGTAGATATTAGACTCCTGCGCAATTCCATTTAAACGGCCCAACAATACATCCGATCGCCGCGCAAATACTTTCCATCCCCTACTTTCATCGTTCG